GCTGCACCGTCAGGATCTGAGACTGCTTCTCGGGGCTCACTCAGTATATCTGAGCGCGTCTCGCCAGCGCACTGGTTAACCGAGCGATTCTGCGAGATTGGCAGCCGCGCTCCAGCAATCAGGGGCCACGCTGTGCCGCAGGCCCCGCCCCTAGCCCAAATCCTCTTTCCGTCTCTTCGCCGCTGCCTGCTGGCCGACGCCACTTACCCTGTGCAACCTCACAGGGCTGGGCCTTCAACGTCAGCACTATGGCTCTCTGTTCTGCCGCTTTCTCTCCTTCACCATGCAGTCTGCGAACAGCACTTTCTACACTTCTCGCCAGCGAGCAAACTCATATTGAGTGTAGCAGATTCCACTGGCGATTCCACTGGCGCCGGGAGCCATCTGTTGGTTTTGCACTTCCTAGAATCTGTTGGGTTTTTTTCTTTTTAATGCTTTTCCGGGTAACCAGAGGGGAAACTCAATTACCTTAACCCTGAGACCACTATAGGGACAATACAGAAAGAGGAAATAAGTGCATTTTTAGAAATACAAGAGCTTCACAATCCAGTAGATCATTTTGTATTCTGCATTCATTTTGCTTTGTATTCATATGCTAATCTCTTCCTTTCCACGAAGGGATTATAGGGTTCCACAATGGGGTATCTGTGTAATTTTCTAAAAGGGCACAAAGGGTTTAAATCATTGTTTCTTTGTAGTGAGAGGCAAGGGAGAGCAGGAGGAATGAAAATCTATACTGAAGATTTTCTTTTTTAAACTTTGCAGGTGAGGTCAACTGTAGACCCAAAATTAATTTTAGAATGTGAAGAGTTTTAAGAGCTGAGGAAGGGGGGCGGGGGAGAGCACTTTAAAAGTTATTAAGTTGTTTTGTTTTGTTTTTCTTGCATTTACGGAAAATATTGGAATTTAAAGAAATACTCTGTTGGATTTTGTAGTATTGATTTACTTTACCCTGCATTATCACGTTACCGTCTGATTTTTAAAAGCAAATGTTAAGTCATGACAGTGGTTACTCGGAAAGGAAGAAGAGGGATGTGATAGAGACAGAAGAATAGTCTGATAATATTTTTTGAGCTAGGTGGTGATTACTCATGTATTTATCTTATGTTTGTTAATCACATAATGTATATTTATTTTATAACTAATTGTTATAGTACACGTCTCTTGATGTACATTATGTGGGACAGTTTTTTAAATTGTGATAAAATATTCATAACAAAATTCGCCATCAAACCAACCAGGTGGCATGGTAGTTAAAGTGACTGGGTCCCACATGGCCAACTACATGGTTGACTCCTGGACCTAGGAGCTTAAAAAGCACGCTGGATGCTTGTGCATATGTGCCCGGAACCCAAAGAGGAGAGTGGAGAAAAGATTGCAGCCTGGCCAACCTCCTTGGGGTGAGGGAGTGTTTTCTCACTTTCTCCAGCAAGCACACACTCCCTATAACAAACTTTTTTGAAAAATATACCATCATAACCACTTTAAGTGTATAGATCAGGGACATTAATTACATTCATCTTGTGCATCCCTTACTATCCAACTCGAGAACTTTTTCATCAGCCCAAACTGAAACTTCATACTCTTTAAATAGTAACTCCTCGGACCCGCATTTGGCATAATGGCTATGTCGCTGGACTCCCACATAGTCGACCGCCATTGTAGTCCCAGACCCGGTGGCTTAAACTCACACCAGGTGTGTGTGCGTGTGTGCCCAAGATCCCAAGAGGAGAATGGAGGAGAAGGGATTGCGACATGGCCATCCCCCCTGGGGGGTGATTTCTCGCTTTCTCTCTCTCTGTCTGTCTCTGTCTTTCTGACCAGCACACATGCCCTATAGCAAAAACCTCTCCATAAATAAATAAATAAATAAATAAAATAGTAACTCCCTTCTGTTCCTGTCCCCACCTCCTTGAGGCCCTTAATCTACTTTCTGTCTGTGATTTTGACTATTCTAGGTATCTCATATAAGTGGAATTGCATAGTATTTGTTTTTGTGACTGGCATGTTTCACTTAGCATAAAGTCTTTAACCTTCATTTGTGTTGTAGCATGTATCAGAATTTTTTTAAGACTTCTATTGTATATATGTGGGGGTTTCAAAAATTTCGTGAAAGGGTCTGGCAGGTGGTATGGTGGTTAAGGGCACTGGACTCCCACATGGCTGACCAACATTCAAGTCCCAGACCGGGCAGCGTGCTTTCTCACTTGCTCTCTCTCTTTCGCTCACTCTGCCCCTCTCTGGTCAAATTAAAATAAATAAATTTAAATAAAATATTTTTTTTAAAAAGTTAATAGAAAATGAAATTAAAGTACAGATTTATTTTGGTGTAAAATTTTTAAATTTTTTTTATAATTCACACTTTCCATGAACTTTTTGGGGACTCTGCATATGTACCACATTTTGTTTATTCATTAATTTAATGATGGATGTATGGATTGTTTCTTTAATGTGTATTTTATAATTTTTTTTATTTTAAAAAAACAGAGACAGAGAGACAGAAAGCGATAAATCACCTCCCGGGGGGATGGCCATGCCACAGTCCCTTCTCCTCCATTCTCCCCAAGAGGGCATGCACACATATGTGCCCAGTGTGAGTTTAAGCCACCAGGTCCGGGACTCGAACTGCGGTTGACTACATGGGAGTCCAGTAACATAGCCATTATGCTAACTGCGGGTCCCTGTATTTTATAATTTTTAAAATGTAGCTTGATGGACCAGCCCCAGAGCCTGTTGGTTAAGGGAAGCCAGATCCCACATGGGCATGGCAGTTCAAATTTTGACCCCAGAGGCTTGAGAAACATGCTGGGCATGTGTGCATGGATGCCCAAAATCCAGACAGGATGGAGAAATGGGAAAGGGGTTGCAGTTTTCTCTTACCTTTCTGTTTCTTTCTGCCTGTCTCTCTCTTGCCAATGTACATGCTCTAGGGCAACTTTAAAAAAAAAATGCAGCTTGAATTCTTATAGTAGATAACATTAAAAGAACAAAGAAGCTTGAAAGCAAAAAGTTTATGTTCCAAAGTTAATGTCAACACAAAAGCATAATTAAAATATGAAAGTCTGGAGACCAGCAGATGCCGTGATGGTTGTGTCGCTGGACTCTCACATAGTTGATCACCATTCAAGTCCTGGACCTGGCAGCTTAAAATTTACACTGGGTGCATGTGCAGGCCTGTCCGAGATCTCAAGAGGGGAATGGAGGAGAATGGACTGCGGTATGGCCATCCCACCTGGGAGGTGATTTCTCACTTTCAGTCTCTCTATATCTCCAGCGAGCACATGTGCCCTATAGCAAACATTTCTCAAAAAAAAGTCACATTGGGCACATGTGCATGCATACCCAAAAATCGCAGAAGGAGAATAGAGGAGAAGGGATTGCAGTATGGCCATCCCCCTGGGGAGTGGACAGAGAGAAAGAGAGAGAGACAGAGAAGGAATGAGAAATCATCACCCCAGGAAGTGACCACACTGCAATCCCTTCTGCATTCTCTTGGATTTGGGTTATGCACACACATTCATCCAGCTTGTTTTTCAAGCCGCAGGTCTGGGACACCTATTGCAGTCGGCCACGTGGGATCAGCTACCTTAATCACCACACTTGGGCTAGGCCAAGTTTACTTTCATTTTTCTTTCTTTTTTTTTTTGGTTTGTTATAGAGCTCATACATTCACCAAGGGCAGAGAGACAGAAAGAGAGATAAGGAAAGTGAGAAGTCGTCTTCCAGAGGGGGTGGCCACCCACAATCCTTCTCCTTCATTCTCATTTTGGGATTTGGGGCATGCATGCACATGGCCTGGCATGATTTTCAGTCTGTAGGGTCTAGGACTCAAACTGCTCAGTCAGCCGTTTGAGATCCTGCATTTTTGTTTTGTTTTAAATAATTATTTTATGTAACTTTATTTATTTATTTATTTTATTTGACCAGGGAGGGATAGGATGAGAGAGAGAGATGGAAAGTGAGAAGGCAAAACACCAGGTGTGGGACTCCAACAGTGGTCCATCATGTGGGAGTCCACCACCCTTAACCACCATGTCACCTGCCAGCCCCAAGAGATTCTGTGTTTTAATCTCATGTCAGCCGGTGGCCCCCAAGTCTACTTACATTAAGCATATTTTAAGTGGTTTTATTTTATTTTATTATTTTTTAGAGCGAGAGAGAGAGATTTTTGCTATAGGGCACATATACTCACCAGAGAGACGCACAGAGCGAGAGAGAGAGAAATCACCCCCAGGGGGGATGGCCATGCCACAGTCCATTCTAGGATTTTGGGCACACATGCATACATGCCTGGTTTGAGTTTCAAGCCACCAGGACCAGGACTTGAACCATGGTCAGTCATGTGGGAGTCCAGAACCTTAACCACCACACCACCTGCTGCCCCTTAGGTATTTCTTTTGTTTTGTTTTGTTTAAAAGAAATTTTTGCTATAAGGTGCATGCACTCGCTGGAGAGACAGAAAATGAAAAATCACCCTCCAAGGGTGATGGTCACACTGCAATCCCTTCTCCTCCATTCTCCTCTTGGGATCTTGGGCACGTCCACACATGTGCCTGACCTGTTTTAAGCCACCAGATCCAAGATTTAAACTGCAGTCAACTATGTTGGAGTCCAGTGATGTAACCATTACACCATCTGCTGGTGCCCCTTAGGTGTTTTTGTTTGTTTGTTTGTTTTGTTTTGTTTTGTTTTGGAGAGGTTTTTGCTATAGGGCGCATGCGCTTGCCAGACAGACAGACAGAGACAGAGAGATAGAAAGCGAGAAATCACCCCCCAGGGGGGATGGCCACGCCGCAATCCCTTCTCCTCCATTTTCCTTTCAGGATCTTGGGCACGCACGCACACGGCATGAGTTTAAGCCACCGGGTCCGGGATGCGAACCACGGTCGACTACGTGGGAGTCCAGCGACATAGCCATTATGCTAA